GCCTCCCCCCCCCCCCCCCCTAAATTTTTAAAAATAAAACAAAAATTGAAAAAAAATAAAAATTTTACTCAAAATTTAAGTCTAAGAGTGCCGTTTCCGGGCTCTGGAGGTGCTATAATCATAAATCTTTTTCCCTCAGCCCCACCATGGTTGGGGCTGAGGGGAAAAAATTTAGTAGTAGTAGTATAGATCCTGAATCTCTGAAAGTCCCTCTCTGGGCCCCTCTATTTCAAATTCCTGGATCCGCCACTGTAATGAGCTCTTTACCCTCACCCCTCTCACCATGTCTTCTCCAGTGACTTGGTTATTGAGCAACAAGAGTTTAAAATTATCACCTTCACTGAAAGAATAACCGATGCTAACAATGGTAAAATATAAGTGAGTGTTTATAATTATATTTATATAAGTTTATGTTTGCATACCTTTTTCTTGGGGTGTTTTAGCAGACATCAAATTGAACTGAAGAGAGTGTGTTAAATCATAACTATAGCTGTTGAAATAATAATTATGAATGTTAAAAATTCAAAAGAAAAGCAATATGAATTTTTGTTTACAAACAAAATTTTTGATAAACAAGTGAAAGAGTGTGAACAAGGAAAAATTCTCCTCAGAGGACAAGCAAAAGTAAAAACCATATCGAGGGTTTTAATATATACAATGAGTAGAAAATGATATCATACTCATCAAAATATAGATATTCAGTTATTTTACGGATTTACGATTACACGCTGCTTCTAGAGAGGGAGTCTTGAACCAAAAAGCTGCCCAAGACTTTTCGGTCAGGGTCCCAGAGTAAACTCCTTAGTAGTAATCAATGTGAAGGACTTTGTAGTTTAGGATAGTAAAATGAAATGCAATGACAGCGAAATCATAATTTTAGTCAGACGACCTTAAGTGACATCTGAGGACATGGTGCTTATGCTTGTCTGATGGAGTACCTCTCTGCTCCCACCACTGGTGCTGCTACTAATTGCATCACAGATAGAAAATCAAGAAGATTTAAAAAAACTATTTTAATAAATAATTTATTAGTTTCTGAGCCTATTTGTTTTTGTTTTAATTTGATTGCCAATTGTGTTTTCTCTACATTCTTTAATTAGCCTAATGTTTGACATTATGATCTTCTGACATCTACTATTTTTTTTAAATGACCAGAATAAATATGAAATTGCACATTTAAAGAAAAATCATGATTTACCTGAAGTAAAAGTTACTTGTCAAATCAATATTCTGAAATATTCGGATATACCTGAAAAAAGAACGCACCTCTATAATATTACATGCAATCTTTTGTGTTATTAACACAGTAATCCCCCATATTCATTATTCATATTATTATATTTTTTCTTGTAATGTTTTTCATGTATATCGAGAAATCTGAAATAAAATTGAAATGAATTGATAAATTAAGATTCTGCCTTGTCATTATAAATGGCTGTGGGGTGTATCCTGTTGAAATGAAACCAATATTTAGTTACCTTTGCTCATCTGGATGCATTTGTTGTGAGCTTTCTTCCTGAATCGAGATCAGACTTGTGTCCTCAATCTTGTATATTGTATGTCCACCAATCACAGCAACTCTTAAAACAACCAAATGGTAATCAGAGAGTATTTGGGTTAAATTACGACAGAGACATTATAGTGATCACAAGTTGTGAGAGTCTCCCAGAACTATCATGATCTTCTAAACTGCGACGAGAAAAAAAAATCTACTGGAAACTAACCCATTTCTGGAACAAATAATGAGGTTTACATGTTTTACTACTGTTATTATTAATTTTTCCCTTTGTAGCTGATTATATTTACCACCATGCGCAGCAAAATGCAGCTGGATGTGTTATGAAAGGTCAATAACATGACCTCTTAGAAGTGGCTTCTCCCTGATTGGGACCCTGTGACACCATGTTTCCCTTTAAAAAATCAATGATATAAAAAACAGTGGACTTTTAACCTAAAATTATATAACACAAAAAGAAACTTTAAATTATAAGACTTACCTTCTACGTTTAGTAACAAGCAAGATATAGTACCCCTCTAGAAATCGTACAAATCCTAAAATACAAGAGAAAAAAATAATTAGCAATATAATGAGTTTAAAAGTATTGAAAGGTACCTGGGTCTCCAATAACTATTTGGCAGAAAAGATAATTATAATCAAATTTAAAATTTTTGAGATTATCTCATCAACTGGAGGTACCACAAAGAATTTTGTTCTTCAGCTCAAGTGATGCTGAGACTTTAAAGTTCCCTCGCCAAGTCCCATCCGCCATTACTATGTTATACAGTATTCTTTTAAATGCATATAATTTTTACTGACAAAATTCAATATTAATATAAATAATGGCTTTTTCTTATTCAGTTAAGACTCACCAAGTATACCAAATGCCGAAATAGTTTTAGTAAGACCACCAATAACCTTCTGTTGCGGTAGGTTTCCATGGGCAAGAGTCCGCAGAAGGTTTTGTATTTCTTGTCGGCCATATTCAACCTATCAAAAACCAAAATGGAACAAAATTATTATAATATCCTAATATATATTAAAATATAAACCTTTTATATATATTTATATCTTATAATATCAACTTTAAGTGAAAATAATGGTTCCAAATTAGCAGCTTTAGGAGAATCGTGTTTCTAACGTGTTAGATCCAACAATGTAGAATCTCTGTATTAAAAAAGAAAAACAATTTGTCAAGTAACTGAATTTTAAATAACAATTTCATTTATCATGAGATTCAATATTCAATTACTTAATTATACTAGAGGTCGGGGGTTCGAAACTCTTGCTGTTCAAGTCGCTTGTCTTAGGCAAATCACTTCATCTAAGTTCGTCTCTCTCCACCTGGGTGTATACTTGGGTACAGGCATATGCTGGGAAGGTAAAACAGACTGGGTGTGGGAGGAGTGGCGAATCACTCACAGCCTTGCACAGTCTGGCCCAAACGGCAAGGAAAGAGAGACGGGCACTCCTGCCTGTGAGCCCAGAGGTTCAGATTTCGACCTTTAACTTTTCTTTTACTACTAGAGCCATCAAGTTCAATTATCCACCATCACAAAATTTCACAATCACACATAAAAACAATCAAAATTACATTTGAAATAAATAACACCATTTTTTTAAGCAAGTTAAATTAAGTCAATTTGAAAATTAAGAGCAGCCTTAGTAGACTAAGATTTAGTTGGAGAAGCAGATATCAAGAATTTGTACAAGGACAGTGAATCACTGACATTTTTAGGTTAGAAAGACTTTACGCAGTTTATAGTTATAGATTAATATGAATAGATAAAAAGTAATAAACATTCACAAAAGATACAAAATAAATTATTACAAATATTGCTACAGTATAAAAGTTTGCATTTTTTTCCCTTGCATATGACATTCAAAACATGTTCAATTTTACTATCATAATTATCACGATAGACATATCATTTGAAATGGTGGAATATTTCCTTAACTTTATTAACTTCAATAACATGCAAATTGTGACCGATAAGGTAATTTTACATATAAAAGCTATACATACAGTATGCAACATCCAAAGATATTAAAAACATCCACAGAAAAAAAAAACAATTCACAGAGGCAAAAAACGGGCAACAAATTATTATTGTGTTACTTACAGTAGGTGTCTCATACACAACAATTTTCTGAATGCCGCTTATCAAATTGTCAAATATCATTGTCAATGCTGGTCTATTCTGGTACTTTCTTGTATAGTACCTTACAGAAAAAAGATATATAAAAATTGACATTATTTTTTTTAATGTCTGGAATTTCATTCATATTTCATTTCTGTTCAGTATACAAGAAATTTTACCTTCTTCACTGTGGTTACTTGGCAAGTTGGCTACAAAACAAGTTCTCACCACGACGATAGGCCTCGCCTATCTATCTATAAATTCAGCAATTGTACGGAGGCCTAGCTAGGCTACGCCTAGGCTGTAATGGCTTTTATCTGGACTAGACCTAGCCTATCTTTGTCAAAAAATATTGGCTGACATGTTAATGTCCTATTCAAGCGAGTTAAATGTAAAAATAACAATGAAAATATTGTATTACAAATGAAAAGTTACCTAAAGTTGCTTCCGCGAGCAGTACTTAGCGTTTTGCCTTCTTTACTCCATGTTGTTTATTTCTTTTAGTTTTGTTGAGCGCCCTCATATATTTATTAGCCTCAATTTCTGACGAAAACAAAATAAGACGGCTGTACACAAGAGGTAAAAAAACCAGGGTGATGTGAAGCTTCAATTCGCGATTTTCGCGAGATTCCAGGAAAAGGGGTGAAAATTGTAAACAAGATTGTTGCGGATAGGCACTAGAAGGTTACTGCATGAAATATTTGTATGTATTATAAAAGGAATCAATATGTCGTTACGTACTTTACCACTGCTATTCATCAATCTGGGAGGTGAGATGATGTACATTTTGGATCAAAGACTTCGAGCACAAAATATACCGTCGGATAAATCCCGGAAAGGTTAGTGTAATGAATGGCTTCCCTCCGCGTTTGGTGTTGGAGTTAGCTAGGCTATACTGGGCCTAGGCCTAGGGATCCACAACACAACAAGGGAATGTAGGTACTGGTAAGAGTGTGTACTTTTTAGCAGGGGGACCATCTTGGTATAAAATAAAGAAATGTGTGTCACACAGTCAGGTGGGGGTGTAATTTTTCTCAGCTCAGTCCAGTACAGTAGGATGGAGGTATGGAATTCGCCTTTAGGCCTAGGCTTTATTTTATTTTGATTTTGCAATATAAAATCGTACAATTTACAACAATATTTAATAAAATGCAAAGGTCTTTCTAATATTGTAGTTAAAGACGTAGTAGTTTTCAATATTTAGAATACTCTGTTACATATGCCAATACAGTACTTGCAGCCTTTGGTCGATTGGGCTTCACAGAATGATTATTTAATTTTAAATGGTACACCTGGGCGGATCCATGGGGAGGGGGGTGGCTAGGCGATGGTTGTTAAAATAGTGCTTTCAAATTTTAGCTGGAAAAAAGTGTACAAATGTTAAGTAAATTAGTCAGCAGCTTTTTTTTCATTAAGGGTGGGGGTCATTTAAGAGAATAATTTTCAGCCTATTTAAGTTTCTCGAAAGATGGGAGGGCGGCAAGGCAGAAGAGTTTGCCTAATTACAAGAAGGGTATTGCAGTTTTAGTGCACGTCTGTGAGTGTGTGTGTATGTGTGTTTGTGGCATGTGTGTGTCAGGGACGTAGCCAGAATTTTGAAAGGGGGGAGCCTTTATGTGAGGTACGTAGAGCCCAGGGGTCCAGGGTCGAAGCCCCCTGGAATGTAGCGCGCTCTGAAGGTTTTTAGGACTGTTTTGAGATGATAAGTGAAAATTGCAATAAACGCATCATAAATAATATTAGTAGTAAGCCTAATAATTAATATAAAATTCAACAGTGGTGGATCAAGGAATTCAATAGAGAGGTGACCCAGGGAGAAACTTTTACAAATTGAGGAACAATCTGTTTTGAAAGTTGGAGGTGGGTGGTGGCTGTCTCTTATACACATCTAGATGTGTATAAGAGACAGGCTCAAAACATTCTTTATCCAAAATAGTCATAATCACGAAAAATGGGCATGTAAAACAAGATCACATACTAAAAAAAAATTTATGCATTCTCGCCTCATCTGCAATTACTAAGGCATATTCTGAGTCAGGTGCCGACTCGATGGAGTTTAATGTCATTCCCAGGAAGGGCACAATCTGTTTTGAAAGGTGGAGGTGAGGGGAGGAACATTTCGTGAGTCGACACCCACCTCAGACCCACCATGTTTGGGGCTGAGGTGCGAAAATTGAGGGAATATTAATTTCTCATGATCTTTTATCAGGGATTTTCGGCAACCATAGATCTTATTAATATGTGTGATGTACCATAGAAAATAAAGCCTACAAACATAGTTTTTGAATATGTACTTTATATACTTCAAAGCCGTGATTTCACAACCATGTCAGGCCCACCATAGTTGGGGCTGAGGTGAGAGAATTTGAGGAAATAGTACTAGATGGCCCCACCCCCTCCAGTGTATATGTCCCTGGTGTGTGTTTCACACATTGACATTGTTACATGCATCTTGGTCTTCCTCGAATTTGATGCTGATCGGAGCTAAGATGCAAATTTTAAAATGTTATTTGTATATTTTCTGGCCGCAACAGACATAGCCAAATTGAGCAGATCATTGGGCCTGGTTTGGCTGGGCCAAGCTGTCTCGAGCGTATTCACCGATGGCCAAAGTAGGGCGTGTGTCAAGCTCTGGCTGGCGAACTGGAAGCGGTCCAGCCGGTGTGCAGACCCGCACGATTGATGGGCTTGCCACTCAAGGCCTGATGCTAGGCTTTGTTTGGCTAGACCAAGCCGACTCTAGCAGATCGACTGCAGCCCATTATTTTTTCTATACAGAGTTTCAGTAACAGGGCGAGGGTTTGTAATCGCTAATTATCTTCTAGGATATGTTTTATTTACTTTTATTCTAATGTAAGACTAATATTCTGTTTTGTTCGGGTGGTGATACTATTGTTTATTTATTCTATGTTGTGAGCTGAATTTGAATAAAATACATAAATTTAATTATTGTATTTCAGTTCTGCATGATATTGTCGGTGCCATGCTCAATAAACGTTTTGTGGAAGAACTCTTTAAGCCCCAAGACCTGTACACTAAGAAAGCTATGCGAACAGTTTTCGACAGACTGGCTCATGCCTCTATCATGCGATTAAATTCTGCTAGTATGGACAAGGTGGGTTTTTGATTCTACCTGTAATCAATATGCAATAAACTAATTAATGACTATTCAAATTATTTTGCATTAATATTCCATAGATTTTAATCTGAACTTAAGTCACTCTAAAGTGAGTGTGTTAAGTTTTCATTTATTCAGTTAATTTAATTAGTCTTAATTATTTTTTAAACATTGGCACTCTCATTAGTATTGAATCTATATAATTTATGTATAGTACTGTATGTTTTTTGACAGTATCTGCAGTGGCGGATTCAAGGAGTGAGGGAAAAGCTGGTCCGGACCCCCTAAATTTCTGGCAATCTAGAGGTGCCATAATCACTAATTTTCTTACCTCAGTCCCAATCATGGTGGGGCTGAGGTGGTATAGAACCTCCCTTTGTGAAAGTACCTTACCTTCTCGGGCCCCCCTTTATTCCTGGATCCACCACTGACTGATGATATGAAGATGGAACCTGAAATTAATTAAATCATGCGTTAATAGTAATAAGAATAGAACTATATACTGTAGAAATAGTCTATTTCATATTAATTGTTTTCTTGATAGCTGTATGACCTTATGACGATGGCATTCAAGCACCAGCTGTCGTTGAGTTTGCGCCCTCAAGACATCCTACTAGTCACCTTGAACCATCTTGACGCCATCCGTATGTACGTGGAAGATGTACCTGTTATCAGAAACCAGGTGGAAACCGTCCATCAAATGCTATATAAGGTGTGTGAATTCTAACAAACAACAGTCAGGTTATCATAACGTTTATTATCCATGTATCTATTAGTAGTTCTTTGTACATTAACTTTAGATACAGACCTTGTCTGATCTCTGTATGTACTTACCAATAATGTTGTTAAATTGCCATGTTGCAATGTCATGCCGTTCAGCGGTGGTTTTCATGCTTTTGTTCGAATTTGAAATGTAAAACACTTTATAAAACAAAGATATATTTGGTAATTACCAATTAATGACTTTACTTTTTTAATTTTCTGTAGGTATATGCGTCTATGTCCCCAGGAGAATTGCAGCTTCTAAGACAGACATTATTAACCTTCTTTCAAGACACACATATAAGGGTGGGTCAAAGTAATTTTTCTTTTATTGAGATTCTTTTAATTTATAACTCAATCATAATGTCATCTTTTTCCTTTGCCATTCCAGAATCATAGAACTCTCTTCCACCTCAACTGGGATTAAAGCGCCAGTAAAAAATAATATTTTTTTAACAGGCGCTATACAGATTCTCCAATTTATTTATTATTATGATTTTACCTTCAATGTTATTTTTCTATCACTAAGCAGTGAATTGTAAATAATAATTAAGTCAAATTCCTTTGGTGACTCCATGAATCATACACACTGACTTAATAATTTCAATAAGTTTTTAGACACCATTTAAAACTGCTAAATGTTTTAGAATATGAGTTGGTGGTGAGTTATTTTAATAGTATTATTCTACAAGGCTAGAAGTTTGTGACATAATAATTAATGACTATTTTGCTGTACTCGCTATTCTCAGCTATTTCAGAAGATTTATCTTTCCTTCCTTTAGCTTTCTTAATTTTCAAATAAACAACGTCCTCCATCCCAAATCCCTTTCAATGCTAAAATTGATCTACTTAACGTAATTGCAGTGTACAGTTTGGCAAAGGACATTGAAGCTTAATCAACATTAGTTGCTTTACCATGGCAACAGGTAGTCATTATTACACAGTGAACAATCTCCATTATCTACTGAAAGCTAGGATTCAAATTCTATATGGTGATGGAGAAAGAAATTACATGAGAAATATTAAGTTACACCCTTTCACTTTGGATACTACAGGCAATGTGTACATGTCTATTATCTCTATTAATTTAATTTTTTTATACAGTATGTACTGTACCATCAATGATTTGACCAAAAATGGGTACAGTGTACTTATAGGGAGGTCTTTTAGTATGTACAAAGTAAAAGGAGATCCAAAAATTTTCTAGGGGGGAGGGTTTGGGGTGCATGTATTTGTATTCTGTTTTTTCATATTTCAGTATATGAAATTGGTATGTATTGAACTGGATCTGTATAAAATTTGAGTGTTATTTTGCAAAATGGAAATCTGTTTTTTTCACCTCCAAATGGCCACAAACTTCCATAGAGAACGCCATCATGTCAGGATTTTCTGGACCAGCATCACCGCTGAATAGTACAACATGCTTCGTATTTATAGAATATGATCAGAGCCATTGGATAAGCATAAGCTTTCACCCTGAGATAACACTATATTTTGACCTGCCGTATATTTTCAGATCAAACACAGTAGCATATTTAATGCTTTCCAATATTAGAATATTCACTACCCTCCCTTTGTGCAGCATTTGTGCGAATATCAATATTGCAAATTCTTCACAATTTGATCAGAATGAAAGTACAACTAATCAATTATTCCTTACAGTGTAATGTAATTATTATAATGCTATTGAATATTGCTTGACTTGAATTTAATTATATTGAAGCTGCATGCATTTGTTGTTATGACTGTCTGAACTAATAAAGTTCAACAATAACATTTATTATTATTGATTGTTATTATTGTCAGAATTATAATATTAAATTATAGTGAAACTCAGAGGACCCTATAGAAAATAGAGGCCGATGGAGCCACTATTTCCTGGAAAAAATTGTCAGTCATCCTGTTGTACTTCATAATTATTATATTTAGGCTTAAATCGAAATTCCAGGTTGTGGTGACCGGTTGCTTAGTGGTCAGTGCATTAACTGCATATGTGTATTAGCTGGGCGTATGAGAATGATTTGCTAGTACAATAGTACACGCACTGACACTCTTTGCAGGTCTTTGCAATACGATGAAGATGAATAAATTGATTGTGGTTGATGAAGTTTATTAGGTGTCAATAGGTGTGCCCATCTATTTTCTTCCTCCATGGTGTGCCTAACCTCCTGGTAGACATTTGATAAAATAGATTAAAAGATGTATTGTAAACATTATTATGAATTATTTCAGCATTGCCTTCTCTTTCAGTTCTTTTATAATGTCAATCACTTTTGATAACCATAATGCCTTTCTAGGCCTTGCCAAGACAGTCTAGGCTTCATTCATGTTAACCAAAGCTGTAGAGCGATCTTTGTCGCTGTGTGCGTTCCAATCTTGTCCCAGAAACAAAATATTCAACACGATGTAAAACCCAAGCTTTGAGGTTTCTGAGACTTGGAACTAATATTTAAAGGATTTAGAATTATACTACAGAATTGTACTCAAAAACTGTATACGGTAGTCGATACGAATTGTTGTACATTAACACTAATTGGCAATGTGCGTTATTTACAAGATATTAGTCCTTAGCAACACTTATTGAATGAGTAAACAATGACTCGCAACATGAAAAGGTGAACTTAATCTATGTGTAGAGTACAAAGGGTTACTATAGTAATAGCAGTTGATGTGAAGAGATCTAGTATGGTATCTCTCTACTTTTTAAAAGGCTAATTAATTATAAAGCAATAAAGTATGGATTAGACATAGGCCTAGATTACATTGTGTGTAATATGTGACAGTGGGGAAATCTTGACAAGAAACATTTTCTTTAATGTAAGAATGTATTATTTAAGAAAATATATCATTTATGAAGATGTTGTTTTATATATCTTGACAATTTACCGTGTTTTATCTACAATAATTACAGTTCTTGTCAGGATAGTAGAAAAATTTGGTTACTTGACAGGGAATTTTTTTTCTGATTAAAATTTTGGATTGTAAATTAATAAATATGATATTGTTTTTTTTTTCAATTTTTCTTTTAACTCTTGACAGACAGTACAACTTTATCCATTAATTCCAAGTTGTTTTAAAACAGTGGCCATCTAAGAATTTTAAAATAAGATAAACTTTTATTGTCCATCAAATATGTTGGAAATTCATGGTCCATTTGGTGTAAAAACAAAAACACATTAATTAAATTACATCACAATTAAATTGCACAACAAATATAAATATAAAGTTGTATTATCAAAAGGAATTAGGTTTTGTCTAGTAACTATTTACACATTTATATCTTCTCATGATTGCTTATGCTGTCTTTTTATTTATGTTTGTTACCTGAGCATTGGTAATGTACTGTCATCTAGGTGTAGTGCCAAATTCAATTCAGCTATGAAATACAGTGTATACTGTACAGGTTTATAGACAGGGAATAGCCACAAGCAAGCATAGTCTCAAATATTTATTTATAGTATGACAGGGTCCAAAATCTGCCACAGAAAGTTCAACAATAACATTTATTATTATTGATTGTTATTATTGTCAGAATTATAATATTAAATTGTAGTGAAACTCAGAGGACCCTATAGAAAATAGAGGCCGACGGAGTCACTATTACCTGGAAAAAATTGTCAGTCATCCTGTTGTATATAATTATTATATTTAGGCTTAAATCTAATTTCCAGGTTGTGGAGATCGGTTGCAAATAGATGTTACAGTCTCATAATAATACCTTTTTTAAATGTTGTTTTCAATAGGTTTCAATATTTCTCAAAGACAAAGTACAGAACTCTAATGGTCGCTTTGTTCTACCAATAAATGGCAAACTACCATTTGGTGTAGAAATTCCAGGAACAATCAGGTTTGTTACAGCAGAAATTAATTAATGATAATAATTGTGGTGGAAAGATGGTGTCAGTGATATAATAATGATGATGATGATGATGAAGATGTTGGTGATGTTAATGGCATTGGTAGTGAAAGTGTTGGTAATACTAATACTAATACATCAGTGGTGGTAATAATGGTGTTGTTGATTATTATGAGGATGGTGGTTATTATGAGGATGGTGAAGATAACGATGGTGATGATATTGGTAGTGGAGGTGTACCTGGTGTCTGTGATGTAATAATGGTGCAGATGTTTATTATTTAAAAAATAATGTTCCATTTTATTTAAGAGGATGATAATGGTGGTGATCATGGATTTGGTGGTGATAGTGATAAGATAATTGTGGTATTGCTATGGTAATGATGCTGTTGATGGTTGTTATGGCAATAATAACTATGAGGACAATTTTATCATCATCATCAGCCTCTCTTAGTATTGATGCAAATGTTACTGGTAATGTTATATTCAATCCTCCATGCTGAAACACCACTTCACCTAGTTTATGAATAATTATTCAAAATGCTAATTAATCTCCTTCCTGTCTTTCCTAAATCATTAAGGTATCATGATGGATCTGACAAACCAATACAGACGTCCAAATTCCATATGAAACAGAACTACACAGTCAACAAGACAGAAGGCACTTACCAACTTAAAGGCAATAGAGTAACTAAGCTTGGCACAAATATGTATAGTATTGTTCGACCGTCTGAAACCAATGTTTCACACACCAAGCCTATGGAGCATGTCAAACCAGTCTCTGAAGAAAGGGTATGTCACATTTCTACCTAAAGTTCTGTTCACACTATCAAGTTTTATGGGACAAGTGTATGTAATTTTCCCATATATGGGTATGATGATGGCATTTCCCACCCATATTTGGACAAACCACATGTATCACACTATCAAGTTTTATGTGACAAGTGTATGTAATTTTCCCATATATGGGTATGATGCTGGCATTTCCCACCCATATTTGGACAAACCACATGTATTTTTTGTCAAAAAATAAGACAAAATTCATACCTGTGTCGATACTCATTATTGTGTGTGTCCACACATTATCAAGTTTCTTTTTTGTGTGTGTATCAACACAGTTTCAAGTTTTTTTGTGATACTGTGTGGACATACCTTAAGGCTGGGATACAATCCCCACCATGTCCATTAGCTTGTGTCCTTGGACAAGGAAATTAAAACTTTGTTTTTTTGTTTTTTTGTTTTTTTTTGTAGGCTTCTGCAAATATAAACCCACTTGTGAAAGCGGAGTTGAATCTGCTGGCACATTTAATGGGCTCAGTTGATATCCAATCATCAAGCAAGAAAGACACTGCTATAAAACTCTCACTTTTCAATACGGATGAAGAAGAACAGTAAGCTAACATGAATATTTATATTTTTTATACGTTATTTTATTAAGTTTGGAAAATTTAAGTTAAAAAGATGTTGCGGCATTTTTTTTATAGGAAATATTTCTTTATATTTTTTTTTTAAATGTAAATTGTTATGATATCAAAAATCAGTGATGTATCTAGCTATCACCCACCCCCCCACCTTGAAAAAGTCTGAAACAAAACAATCACTCAAGTATGTATAAATCTCTTCATCACCTTATTTTGCAACCTAGCACCCCTTCACTTAATCATCAAGCTGCCATTTCACCTTCATGCCCCTCCCCATAAGCACCCCCATTTCCAAGACTCCTCGATATGCCACTGTAAAAAAATAATAGATTAATTTCTTTCATTATTTCATTTATCATTTAAAATTTTAGACAATTCAAAGAAACAAGACCACCAACAGAGATGTATGATTGGAATGTGATTAAGATTGATGCCTCAAAGGTATGTTAATAAAAAAGAAAATAATATATATTGAAATATGTGGCACCACAGGTTAGGCTTTAGGATTTTGATGTAAACGTCAAGGTTTGAAGTCACTTGTTCATGTCTAGGACAAGGTAATTTTGTCACTTTCCACCCAGGAATATAGGTGGATGTAGTGCTGTGGTACAGTAGGTTTGAATACCAGGTCCAACAAGTATGACAGGGTGTCCGAATCAAGGGTCTGGCTAGAGCCTCAGCTGACATGGCCCCTGCCCCTTGTTGGTTGCTTGTTTGACTGGGGGATCCCTCTGATCCCTGCTGGCACCACCACTGGCTGCTACATTATGGAAGAATGGGATGTTTTATCCCTAATTATAGAATGATGCAAATTGTGCAATATTTAAGAATTGTTGATGAATTGGTGTCACCTGTCTTGCTTTAATTTATTTTCTTTATTGTTTTTATTTCAGAACAAAACAAGAGATGAATTGAACAAAATAATGGGTGATTTAGACATAGGTGGATCGACATCATTAAGCAACAAGGGTGATGACCTGCTTGAATTGATGGACAGCTGCTAGGTTTCCATGGATACATCAAAAGTGACAGGTTCATATTGTGTGCCATACAGCACGTGACAATCATGATGCACCTTGATATTAGTATTTGTTTGTATTTGTATCAGCTTTGTCATTATTGATTCACTTTTGTTTTTTAATAGGATTTTTATCTGTTAGACTTATGTGATACTGTTTGATAAGACTTTGTGAGGCTTAAGTGTGGAGATTAAAATGTTTGACAAACAATCCTGGTTTTTAAGAAGCCACAGCTTCACTCACTGTACTGCATTTCTTTTAAATAACATGTTACATTAAAGATATTATCATAAAATAGATTCAAATTATTATTTGTTATTAATTGGTGAGGAAAATATTTTCTTCTTATTTTTAACTGAAAGCTAAGAACTTACAAATATATACCTTTGAGTTTATTACACACTCTAGGCTATCTTAAGTCATGTACTCAGTAAAATTTGAAGATAAGAGGCTATATTCTGTGGTCTTAGAATGTATTGAATTAAAAATTTATTTTTCTGTGTAGTCCAATAAAATTGTATTTGTGCCCAGAATGAATAGACAAATGTATCTTTCAATGCATAAACTGAGAATATTTAAAACAAATTAAAATATCAATATACAATATATTAATTCACAACAAAAAACAAAAGCCTGGTTTTCATAAAATTGCTACACACTATCGCCAATTGGTTTGGCGATGCTCATTGGTCGGTTGAATCAGGGAGCTTTCCCGATGGCGTCGGGGACAGCTACGCAGTGCAAGGATTCCAGTAAAAACGCTGTAGCAACTGCGTAGCAATTGTATGGAAACCAAGCTTAAACTTGGTACATTAGGACCAAAACATTTCCATTGCCACTCATTCTTATAGGAGTTGATTCGACTCATCTTATTTGAAGAATCTTAATTTGTATTGCAGTCTTTCTGCATTTGTCTCTAAAGGTGTTTTGTAAACAATAAAATATTTTTGTATTTTTAATAAAGCATGTACTCATTTGGCAGCACTAGCAAAATACTGGCAAAACTAAACAGATGTTTTGCCCCTTTCCTACATTCTTGATAAATGTTGACTTCGCAAAATGTCTGGAAAGAAATTGGATATATGTGAAAGTCAACATAAATCAATTAATTATAAATTTATTAACTAGGAAATAATATTTATATTCAACATCTATATTCATTATAAGTGTATGCATTGCCTTGATACTAAGGAATGTGCAAGAACTGTTGTAAATACTTTTAAAAGCAGTGTGTGGTTATTACCATTATTTTGTCTATTCTTAAATGTTTTGTCACTGCTTGTAGTAGTGAAGGTAGGTGAAATTCAGTAACTTCTAGTGGATTTGAGATGATGCTGTGATATAAAATCATGGTTAATTTGAAATGTTACGTTATATTAGACTCGAAAAAAGAACAATGTTTATTTATTCTTTATATTTGGGCTGTTGATGATAAACTACCTGAATAAATAGTATGAACTACTCATGGTGTTAGATGTTTTTTGTGTTGATACGTTTGAGTCAGTGATTGGTGATTAAGTAATTTACTGAATGACTTTATTTGTTATTTTCACGAGAGAGCAGCTTAGCTCAGTCGGCTAATCTGGTGGTAGCCACTGTGTGTGCACTGAACCGTGAAGATCTTTAGGTCCCCGGTTCATTTCCCATCGCTGCCTCTCCTTGTGTTTCAGCTAGAGGGCTGAAATAAAAGTTACATAGAGCACCGTCTTTTGGATGAGACATTTATGGCCCATGTGCATGTTAAAGAACACAGTACACTCTTCGGAAAAGAGTAGGGAATTGTCTCCCGGTGTACTGTCCAATCACCACCAGAAGGACCCTACTGGAAATCTTCTTCTAGACTTTCATGGGCTATCCTTGGTGTTTACACCGAATAAATCCAATCCAATCCAACACATTTTTATTTTTAAGGATATGGTTGTTGTATCTTTATATTTATTTTATTTAAAACCTCTACTTCAAGAGTAGACCCATCTAACACAGCTGATGATCTGGGCCTTCAGAAATATATATGCCTTATATAATTAACATTAAAATCACAAATTAATAACATACTATATAAATATAAAAACTTTCACTATACAATTTAAACACAAACAGACAATTTGTCGAAACATTGTCAAAGTTGTTCAGCCTAAAACAGGTCTGGTTCTTGGGCCACATTATGTTCTTTCCAATATTAGAAAAATTTAACAAAACAGAGAGGTACTGAATTGTGGTAACTCAGGGCATTACATTCCCGTGCCTCATCACAGTACATTGTTGATGTTCCTTTTTCCTCATTGCAATTGTTCACTGAGGTATCATCTTCCTCACACTTAAACATTCATCTATTCATTCATTTCCTGTGTATTGGTCATCCCTTCCAAACCGAATTAAAGACGATGCTGTAAATTGTAACCTAAAAGTTTTTTTAGAGAGGTTCAAATCGTATCTTTTTAGCATTCAGATGTAGATATAATTTTAATATTTTTTTGTTACTTTTTACAAATTTTAACTTAATATATTGTAAATATTTTTGATGTTTTTGGTGTTTTGCTGGGACTTCTGACTCATTGAGTCACAGAGGCTATTGCTTCTTTAGAAGTCCCAGGACCTTTGTGTCTAATAAATAAATGAAATGAAATTCCTTATGCATGGCTCCAATGAATTGAGATAAAAATGTTTCTGATGTGTGCTAAAATCAAGATAAAAGGTAGAAGCAAGAAAGTTGTATGTCCTTTATGCCAGTGTATATCCATTTTGGTAAGTGTGCCATGCACTATATTCTTTTGTTCCAATCGCTGCCTCAATTTATTGTGCAGACAGCACATTGTGTCTTGTTTTTAAAGCACTATTTTCCATATGCCCATATGTGCAAAATATGTTCCATGTGCCCAAAGCTATGTGTTCTGTCCGTTGAGTGTTCTATTTTGTCTATGGTTTGCACAATGCACTATCTTCCATTATGCCTAATGTATGTTTCGTGTGTCCAAATCAATGTGTTTTATCTGTCCAAGGCACTGTGTTTCGTGTGTCCAAAATATGTTCCATGTGCCCAAAGCAGTGCGTTCCGTCTTCTTAAATCAATGTGTTACATGTGTCCAAGGCACTGTTCTGTGTGCCTACCAATGCATTAATGTCGTATGTGTGCACAAATGAATGTGTTATTGTATGTGCCCATGGCAACCGTGTTTTGTGTGCCGAAACAAATCATGATGTGTATCCAAAGCTCTATTATAGTAGAGGCTAAATATGGTTTAACCTTAAACAAACTCTAATAAAAGGACTTTTTGTATATTCGTGTACGTCTATACGTAAATAATTATGGCTAATTTTTGCCGCCTTTTTATAGTTGCGTTGACCAGGTATTCAGAGTCAAGGGTCAAAGGCCTTTATATAACATTTTCTGGGTCATAAGTCTTTAACCACTTGCTCTAAAAGCACAAAAATAGTATCTACACCTGGGGTTTAGGGGTCAACAATTATGGAAACATTTTTGCCTTTTAGCGTTGACCAAATATTCAGGGCATTATTCATCATGATTAAAAGCAATAAAATATCGTCACGCACATTTGTGTTTGTGGTATTTTAAAGTTGGTTCAACTATTATTGTGTACGTTTTTAAACACTTCAGATCATCATAACTTCACGAATACATTTTATATTCACTTCACTGCAAGTAGGTTGATGAATGTTGTATTATTGAATGGTAATAGTTATTATCGTGATGGAGTAGACAATACCTGGATTTACTTCAGGAGAATCAATTAGGGGGCCAATATGTATTTTGCCCAACCTGTCGTGAATATGTATTGAATAGGCCTACTCAGTACGTGATGCACTAATATACTGTTTGAAATCACATTTCTAAAGCAATGAAATATCGTCACGCACATTTGTATTTGTGGTATTTTAAAATTGGTTCAACTATTATTGTGTACGATTTTAAACACTTCAGATCATCATAGCTTCATAAATACATTTTAGATTCACTTCACTGCAATTAGGTCGAGATGACTGTTCTATTATTAAATGGTAATTGTTATTATCGTGATGGAATAAACAATACCTGGATTTGCGTCAGGAAAATCAATTAGGGGGGGGGGGCCCTATATGTGTAATTTTGCCCAACTTGTTGTGAAAATGTACTGACTAATCAGTGCGTGTGAAAGTTGTTCTCCAGTGGGACTCGAACACAGTTCTCCAGTTCCAGATCACTAGTCTGGCATCATACCTCTAGACCACCGAGCTTGCACCTGAGGGCCAGGGCTGAATTCGAGCCCAAGTAGCGGCAAGTACTACGGTATGTCAAAGGTCAATGATCTTTATACAACTATAATTGTCATAACTCCTCAACCAGTTCGCCTAGATGCACAAAAATAGTGGCTACACATAGGTTTTTGGGATCAACATTTATTGAAACATTTTTGCCACCTTCTAGTAGCTGCGTTGACCAAATATTCAGGGTCAGAGGTCAATGACCTTTATACAACATATGATGATCATAACTCCCCAACCACTTGGTCTAAAAGCACAAAAATAGTGTATGAATTACTATGTCTATGTTAATTTAATATCTATTAAAATTGTATATTTAAATAATATAGTAATAGGCATAGCCTAGGCCTAAACCTAGTGACTAGCCTATGTGTGTAGTGTATAAAATTATGAATAAAAAGTATGAATAAGTGCAAATTGTTAGTGCGTGTGAAAGAATAAAGGAAGAAGGAAGAATAAGAAAGAGATTTGGAACGGCTGAAATATTTTCCAAAAATATACAATTCAATATTAGTCAATATTCGACATCGAATAGGTCCGATTGATGTCGAATTTTTTTACACTACACACATACTTTAAAGACACGTTAAAGTCTGGTACGCGTTCGAACCGCGGCTCTGGTGTGAGGAGGGTCATCAAAGCCAGCGGGAGTATGCCCAACAATTGGTCTACATTCCTGAGATGTGATGACAACAAATCAGAGTGTTTCCATTAATTGTAAACGAAGTAGTTGAGAACACTGACACAAACCACGGATTGTTTGTAGAGTCTCTGGGAGACGGAGCTGTAGCAAACCAGTATGAAGATATGCAACCATTGCTATGTAACAGATGAACGTATGTTTGTTTATGTTAAACATGCTGCTGAAAATTGTCCACGCATTCTTGTCAAGACTGTAGACAGTGATGTTGCTGCTATTGAGTTGTCAGCTTTCCACAGAATACCTTGAGTTATCAGCTTTCCACAGAATACCTGCATGCATCCAGGAGCTTTGGCTCGAGGGGAAGCACTTAAAGTACATTCCAATACACACGATTGCTACTTCTCTAGGACCACAGATATCAACCGCTCACAATTGTCCTTTCACTATTTTAGCAGTTGTGATACAACTTTATCTGTTCAAGGTAAGTAAACCATCATTTAACAAAACTTGTAAAAAGATGCCATGTATGACTCCAGTATTCTAGAGAATCTGTAGGAGATGTTAATGAAACAGACACTAGAACAGTTGGTTGTTGCTATGTACCTGCGGCACATTTGATGGTAAGAAGGTAAATGATGCAAGGTGATACCTATTTACAACTGGGGAAAGGCAATAGAGAATACCCCCAACATCAGCTGCATTAAAGAAACATGTCAAACGATCTGTACTACAATCCAAGAAGTGGTAAAACTGTCTAGATGCCCTCAGAGTTGAACATGACCCAGTTAATTGGGGATGGATGAAGGACGACAACAAATTTAC